AAAATGTTTAATTCAATAAAAATATTTTTTGGTTTAAAACAAAATGAATCGAAGATCATAATTTGACGTTTTTAGTGCATATACGCATTATTTTAGGGTATATTTAGGCTTTCATTAGAGAATGACATTCCTAGCCATAGTTAAGACATTTTACAGTTGACAATAAGAAAACAATACCTGATTCAGAAACTACCTAACAGAATTTTTATGTAGATACATTAAAAGAAAATCACCTCTTAAATAATTTGCAGTAAAAAGGTAGATGGCGGTTTACCATTTTAAGTATAAAAATTTGTATCATCACAGGATGACACACAACAAATAGTGCCTACCAAAATATCAGGAATTTTTAAGTATGGTAGTATCATGGTAGGTACCTAGGTATACTTCAAAATTCTAAAAATCAGAATTTGAATAAAAGTATTATTATAGGAAAAAATTATTTTAAGCATGTTTAAAAAATAATTCTGTATATTATGAAATATTGTTACAATTTACGGCGGCTTACGCGTACGCAGGGAGGAAAATAGGCTGAAACCCTCTCTCCCTTTTTCTGTATAATTATTAATTTTTAAAAAATATTTATCAATCGACCACTAAAGTAAGCATGACGTAAATTCATATACGTTTACCAGAATGAATTCATATTGTGACGTTGAAATTGCATAACCGTTGATTAGTGATGAGTCATCACTGATGACCGATGATAATATATAAAATTTTTATATTATAATATAATATATAATATATTATATATTGTATATTCTTCACATTTAAAGTATATAAAATATAATAGGAACCTAAATCAAGTTTAGTAAATTAAGCGACATATTTTATTCATTACGTGACGTACAATAGTTTACAGTTGTTTTTAATACGACATAATATAATACGATAATTAAAACTTTTTAAATGTAATACGTAATTACTACATCAATAATATTTTTTAATATTTTATTAAATGAATAACACCAAAAAAGAAAAAAGAAAAGAAAAAAAATGATAATAATATAATACAAAGATTACAATAATATAATTTAAAATAATTTAGTCACTAGTATAGACGACTAGGTGATTCTTTAAAAGTTTTCTTTTCATCCTTCGGCCACATTGTGGGCCGTGTCTGTGAAAAATTCGCAAGGTTTGCTTCTGCTTTCTCTCTACCGGCCCTAACCTTCTCCAAATCCAATTTGTCCGACTCCTTTTGAAAATTGGATGATGGCTTATCATATTTCGAAGAAGACGAAGAAGAAAACATGTCGTTGGTAGTCTAAAACAAAACGATGAGATTTTTACAATTATTTTTAACTTTAACTTAAATATTAATTATTGATGAATAGAAAATATCAATATTGTTCATGTTTACTATAGATGTCACTTGTAGGTGTTTCATAAAAAAAGCATTAGGTAGTAACAATACATTATGTGGTTTAAATAATTTTCTCCATGCCTAATGGGAATTACATCTAAAAAGTTTAACTATATAACGTAAGTGATTTCGGCACGTACAAATTAACATGTAACATGTAAAAATAAATATCATTTGTACCAATACCTCTTCATATGTTATACATTTCAAAATATTGAAAATCCTCAAAAATTAGTTGGTATACATAATATTATTTAGGTATATGATTGCAATAAACTAAATCTATGTAACTAAAACTATTAATTAGAGTTTAACCAGTTTTTTTTACAAAAATATCTGTTACTGCAGTATAGTTTACATTATTGTTTTCTAAGCGCTAACAATGAAAGGTCATAATTATAGCTTCAAATATAATGAACTAATGAAACCCAAAGCATACCTTAAATTAATGCTTACCTATATGCCCTAAAAATGCAAAATCGTGTAATTCATTTAATTTATTCTTAAAAAAAAAAATTTTTATGGAATTAAAAAGTTTCCTCTTATTACATAATTTCTAGTACTACGTAATCGTTGGAAAAATTAAAATATATTATAGTTCATAATATTTGATAAGGTAAAAACAGCACATGTTAAAATCAATGTTAATTCTCTAAAATCAATAAAATGCTTTAAAAAATGTAATATTATAATAAGACACCTAGTAAATGCTTATATGAATATAATTTAAGTGCAGGTTTTTTTTAAATATAATTTTCAAAAATAAACTTTATCAATAAATGAAAAAAAAAATCATAATATATTTATCATAAATTAAATACTATGAATAAACGATTATCGTGTTTACATAATATTTTATTTTAAAAAAATAATAGAAAGTTACGATATGACAAGATATTAAGAATTGTTGAATATTTAATATATTTTATTATTTTAATATATAAAATATTTACGTATAAAAGTAGTTTGATTTACATAATGATTTTATTTACTTACAATAGTATTTCGAATTTTTTTTTTTCATAATCCTTAGTTTATATTGTGCTTAAAACGATTGTGTGATTTAAAGTTTAATTTATTATATTGTTATTGTTTAATACATATTATAGTAACTATAATATCAATAGCTATTATCAAACAACTAGAAAGTATAGGAAAACTATAATCAGAGCAGTGTCATAAACACAAAATACTAATGACTAGGTATATTTATAATATTCTAGTTTATTGAAGTTGTTGACTTAACATCAAAAGTTACACTAACACTAGAACAATATTACTAGAGAACGATTGAAATTAGAGATTCAAAAATTGTATAGTTTACGTACGACAGTATTAAATAAACAAATAATGTATTTAATGATAAATATACAATTTTTATAATATTTATAATTATAACTTTATACAAAACTCAAAATATATAAAATATTGCATAAAAGACCGTATTATGTCCCGATGAAAAAACTGATCAAATTTTCACCTTATATAAATAAAATCAATATTTCTTACCGTTATAAAAATAGTGTAAAAATGAATTGTTGTCCTTCTATTGATATACAAGAGAGCAGAATAAATAACAACACAAGAAACAGAAATATTTTAATGTTGAACAACTATGAACTGATTTTTGAATAAACGCTTATCGTTTTTCGGGATAAGGTTTTTATAAAGAAATCTTATCGATGATTCATTCCTTGGAGTAATGTAATTAAAGGAATAGTCATATTTAAGTGATGCCATTAACCGTTATCATATTTAAATGTCACTACATTGATACATTTTAGGATGAAATGTTAGTCACATATCAATATAATTATTAAAATAATATTAACAAACTAAATATATATTATTATAATTATAACATTTGGTTTTATGAATGAAAAAGTTAACCCAAGCAATTACGTAAAAAGACCATAAGTACTATTGTATTCTCTAATAGTTATAATGAAAACTTTAATAACGCAGTACAAAATAACTGGGCAATTGGTCATATAAGCATTTGAAAAAAAGGTTACATTATTTAGAACGTGGGACAGGATTCCAACTTCATAGTTGTCTGGATATAGGATATTGTATGAAAGAGGCGTTCTGAAGTTACGCCCCAAATGAATATATATAATTAATTAATATAGATGATTCAATCGTTTTATTTTATATAAAAATTAGCGAAAAGTATATACTATTGCCAAAATATGACGGGATTCTAACTTTATAGTTATCTGGATATAGTACATTATTTGGACAAGATGTTCTACAGTTATGTTCAGTGTCGACCTGGCCATGGCGTTTGTGCCGTGAACGCTACGAAGCCTCTTGGGGATTTTTTTTTTTGGTGGCAGCTGTCTCGTAAATGGTTATGTACTTGGTGTGTTCCTGGTCTCTATAGGGAGTAGGAACCTAGCAAATAAATGAATTGCTTAATTTTGCATTTTTAGGGCATATACGCTTTATTTTGCTATTATTATTATATTTATTTATGCCCAATTTCAGGAAATCATCGTAGACAATGTTCCATAGCCTCAGGACTATTACAGCACAATAGAGGAAGGTAAAGGGTTTCAATACAGGTTAAATGGTAAAATTACATAGGCACACATTTTTTTATAAGCATTTAAATTTCGAATTTTGATAACATTTACAAGTATGATTAGTTTTTTTCTTATGTTTTTCACCCTACTTAAAAACGAATCCTTTCAATTAGGTATAAAAATATTTGGTAATAAAAAAAAATTAGAAGTACTATATAAGAACGTCGCATTCTACACTTATTAACATAAACACCATAAATATATTTATAGATACGAAGTATTATAATAACATGTTAATTGTTATAAATTAAGTTTGTAACGGTATAACTGTATAAGTACATAATATTAATTGTTTTATAATTCATAATAACAGAAAAACGTGAGTCTTAAGTGGTTAAAAATCAACAATCTTGTTAAATATTACAATACCATTATTGTAACTAAAAACTATTGACTAATATTAACTAATAGCCTTTTATTTGAGGCTGGTAAAGGTAGTAAACTTAAAAAGCTTCACATACATTGGGAATACGGCAACCTGTCAAGAGTTTTATGAACTAAGACTAGGTTAGGTTCTGAATCCTGATAATTAATTTTAATCAGTGATTTTAATTAAACAACTAAGTCCATTTTGTTTAATTATTTATTAACTGGTTGAGCCCTATAAAACAGTTTAAAAAATAAAATAATATACAATTTATATATAGCATATAATTAGTGTTTAGTAAAAGTAACAACAGATTTTAAATTAATAAGTTTTGAAGAATGGTGCTCTCATTGGCCAACTCCATCATGCCGTTCATAATTTTAAGAGGAAGTTGACATATGAGTACTAGAACAGTGGCTGGAGCTGTTCGTATAATGTCTAAAGATACACCGACATTTCTGGAAAACTGTATCAACAATTAGTTTATCTTTTATATTTTTGTCGAAAAAAGCTGCTCATGGTCAAAATTTATCACATCATATTATATTTATGACAGACATCCTCGTAGTTCTTTCCCATCCAGAGGAGCTGTATAAAAAATGTAACAGGTAGGGACACTTTTTGAGGGTATGTAGATCAAAAACAAAATCCGATGGCTTATCTGTGTCCACGGATCATGGCTACTATAACTTGTAACTCAACTGTACCAGGCCTCTTGTCTAAAGCTATTATTATAGTAAAAGTAAACAACATTGATGAAAATACTATCATTGCAACTGGTAGCTCTAACAGTAAAATTAATAAAGAATTTGTTAAATTCACAAAATAATTTCATCGCTCCAGCCCTCTTAATATATGAAATAAAGTTATAAGTTATAACATTTGTTTCAGCTGAACAATTTTTAAAGTGTACAATAAAAAAAAATGGTAATGTACACAATTATTTCATATAAATATTCATTAAGTTAAATTAGTATTTGCATAACATATGAATTGTCAGATAACACCATTATTGCATCTGTAGAAAAATTTTCCACTAATGTATATCTTTTTTTTTTAATATGTTAACAACTATAATATATTGTTTCATTAAAATAATAATTGCTTTGCAATAGAATACCATACTAAAACTGCTTTGGTCTACTTAATATTAAAATTAAAAATCAGGTTTTTTTAAAAGATTTAAAATAGTTGTATAAATAGTTCTTACTTATTTATGCATGTAAAAATATTTCTTTATACAAAAGTTTAGTGTTATGATATGAGATTTTCTCAGATGGCTATAGCATTAGCCGAGAATGGAGCAGATATTTTAACGTATCCATCAGCATTTTTCTTCGGTACAGGTGCTATCATTGGGAAATATTATTGCGAGCCAGAGCCATTGAAACTCAATGTTATGTAATTGCTGCTGCACAAACCGGCATTCATAGCTCAGCTAGAAAATCTTGGGGTCACTCACTGGTTTGTTTGATTACTATTTAACTTGTAAATAGTTTTATATTAAACATTGTGTAGGTAGTTGATTCACTAGGAACAGTTATAGCACAATGTTCTGAAGAACCGTGTTTTGTTTTGGCAACAATTGATTTATCATTAATTAAAAGTATTCGTCAGTCAATGCCTCTGGAATGCCATAGACGATACGATATTTACCCAAAAATGATTTCAAGTACCTTATGTAGGACTAAGTCTATTGAAGATTTTAATGAATTTAAATTTGGATCATCAATAGTTAAAGGTTTACAAGTATTTTACAAAACAGAATTATCCTTAGCATTTACCAATATTAAATGTGTCTTACCAGGACGTATCCTTTATGAATGTATTGAATCTATAATAATTTTAATTTTTTTTTCCATGTAATATTTTCATTAAGTATCAATAACTATATGTTTTAGTTGCTCCTCTTAGAGCTGTGGAAAAATTGACTGGCTTATCTAATTACGAAGTTGAGGATCTATTCCTTGCAGTTAAAAAGGTTCAAAAAACCATTGAACAAGTACAAAACCCTAATTCATCATCTATTGTTATTCAAGACGGCCCACATGCTGGACAAACCATTAAAGTATGTACTATTAATTTTATTTTAATATATTAGATACTGTGGTTAAATTCTTCGGTATGTCAACATTTCTTGGTTTCTAGTATCAGATACAAAGTTGAAAGTTCTATAAGAAATTGAGGATTTTAATTTTTATTATCAGATCTGCAAGAATTAATATTATGAACAAAAACTGATTTTCTAAAATATATATATTTAGTAGTTCATCCTAAATGGTACTATTTTATTTTTATATCGAAATTAGTTACTCTCATTATTTATTTGATTAATGATTTCTTTTAAAATTAACTTTATGCTTCAAAGTGTACATTTAATTTGTACATACAATTAATTATTATAATACAATTAATGAATAAAAATATTTAAAAACAAGAGAAGACTTGAAACAAATACAATTCATTTTGCTCCTAAAGGTATTTACTGTTAAATATTTATTAGATAATAATTATATTAATTAAAAGGGTTAGTTTTTTATCGAAATCAAAAAAGAAAAGTAGTATAAAAATATTTTTAGTACTAAACTGTTTAGGTAGGTACTAAACTATGAAAATGTGACTTTAAGTACAAAAGTATTAATTTAATTTGAATGTTATACACAATGACACGGTCATCAAACATTTTAATATTTTATTCATGTTTATTGTTAATATTATTAGAACATTCATGTTCATATTATTCCAAGAAAGTCTGGAGATTTTTTGGTGAATGATGATATATACAGACAATTACAAAATGAAAAATACTGCACTGATCCAATGAGAAGCTATGATGAGATGGCACAAGAAGCTAAATTATTAAGATCGTTATTTTAATAACTTAGTTTTAAAAAGTATTGCTATTAGTTGTTTAAATTAAATTGTTGCCTTTTACCAATAATTATAATACAAATATAAACTATATCACTATAAATTAAAATTCATGTTTTTTTTCTCACTTTATTCTTAAACTATTAGGTAATGTATAATATAATCGAGTAAAAATGTAAAAGTAAAATGTATATTTAATTATAAAAAACCAAACATTTCATAAATTTTTAAATACAATATTATACTCAAATATTAAACATTTTTTCATATGTCTATATAGGTAAATAAAAATTAGTTTAAATGTTTTTAAAATGTTATGTTATAGACAATTCTAATAGAACTTTTTTTAAATTTTCATGTATCTATTGGCATTCTTTTTTGAATTATAAGAAAATAAGAAAATGGTTCTATAAATGTCCAATCCGTTTGAACTTAACTTCAAATTTTAACAATTTTTTTTTGAATTTCCAGTAAATATTTTTTTTTCCTAAAATGTATAAAAAGTGTTGTGGAATCTTGTATCAAATATTCAAATCTTAGATATAAAAAGAAAAAGTTTTTATGAGTTTCTAATTCTTTATCAATGAGTCGTTTTTCAACCACATACAAAACTGTACCGCAAGTTGATTATAGTTGATTTAAAAATAATTTTATTGTTACTTCAAGCATAAAATATATAAATAGATATAGTTTGATAATTTGGTTCTTTTGTTATAATTCAATACCTAATAACCGTAGATACCTACATGAAATGTCTACCAAATTTTTATACTAAAATTTTCATAGGTACATGTTATAGTTTTAATTAAATGGTGACTATTTTAAGCTAATTACGGACGTTTGAAAATGTTTATTTTATTTTATATAGATATAAATTTCGAAAAAAATGTTGGGAGGAAATTTGTTGTATCTGAGACCTTTTTGGGCACTAAATAACTCTAAAACTCAAAATTTTATGCTACTATAATAATATTAATTTCTCAAATTTTTAAAACGTAATCTTATATATTTTGTTGTAGTAGTATAATAAAGGTATTTTATATTTTAATTTAGTAGTTCAAAATTCCAAAATATTTAGTACTCATACAGTCATACGGTAATTTTGTAAATTGGATACCTACAAGATTCATTTTACATTTATAAGTTTTTATTCCAGCAAAAAGATGGTAAGTGGACGTTGATCTGCTGTACATTAGGTTACAAATTACAAGTGGGACAATATATAATGGAATGTATTTAACATTAAAATGATATAAGCTTAGAGAGTTTGTCAGTCTGGATATTTTATATTATTATTTTTTTTTATAGGTCGATTATGATCGATTGGTAGGATGGAAAAAAAAAGCGGTAGCGGTCAGTTGTAGAGACGGTCCGTAATAGATTGATCATATATATATTGTGTATATTGATAATGTAATTATTGGTAATACATCGCTACACTTCGTATACTATGCATTTATAATTATTATAATTAATAAAATATAATATAGGTAATAAGTGTATAATATATATGAGCATTGCAATGAACGTAGGTAAAAATATATTTTTTGTCACCCCTGCACCGAAAGTTTGGTTTTCGACCGTGGTTGAAGCGTTTGAAAGGGACCTTTTTCCGTCTAGTGCTAAAGCCGTAAAGTTCTAATGGGAATAACCATAGTGCCGGAGAAAAAGGTGGAAATCCTCAAAAGTGCTGGGCTCGTATATCACACGTATTCCATGCATAATCAGACACTGACATCTATACCACGGTCCTTGCGAAGCATACACTTTTGGTTACATCTTATATACATATTCTAATCTTCTTGCATGATGCTTAAACATTTTTATTTCATGAAATGGTTTTCGTAGAATAATCTGATTGTTGCGTATATCCCTATATAGTGCATTATCTTTGCCGTGATTATATTTTTATTTTTTAGTGTGTCGCGTTTGGTATAGACTATTTAATAAAAAACCGGTACAACGCCATAGGATTTTAAACAGCGTAATACGATATGCATATTATGCATTTATAATTACTATAACTTATAAATTATAACAATTTGGTGACTTTAACATCAATTATTTTAATGATAAAAAATCGGAAACTTTTTTGAAACTTTCGTTATGGACACATTCAATTTGGATATGATAAACAATCCAGCAGAATCTACAAGACTACAACGAGAGATGAGAGACACCACTATCGATACAGTATTTTCAAGATATTTGGAAAAAAATACATCACAAACATACGTATCATATTTCAGTTATCACAGGCCTGTTATTTCGATTATTGAGAATTATTAAATATATAATAATAATTAAATAGTTATAAAAAAAAATGTTCGTTTTCATTTATTTTTCACATTTACATTTATTTTGAATGGTTCCACTCAAATTACCAGTTGACCTTTTATTCAAAAAAATTGCTATTTTGTGGGTGGTTAAACACCTAGATCAGTGGGTTGATAAAAATGTTTTCAGTAAAAAAAGAGCTTTTCGTTCATTTGATGCTAAAACATCACTTTTTAAAAAATCAGTTGGTCAAAAATTTGTTGATTTTCTTGGTCCTTTTTATTATAATTCTATGCCTTTCTCTATAAAGAAAAATGTTAATATTAATTATAATTATAATAATGCTAAAAAATTAATTATTGAATGGCTGCATGTATCGTTAAATGTAACTTAGGTTTAACTTTATGATGTTATATTATTATAACTTTGTTTTGTTTTCTTTTTTCTTCTCTCTCTTTCCATATTGTATAACTACGTAATTTGTGATTTAAATTTATTTTTCTTTTAAGCATATATTTTAACAATTGTAACTCCCTATCTTCGCCACAAGCTTAGCTTACAGAAGATAGATAATTCAAATGTATAAATTAATGTATAATAGTATATTTGTTTTTAAATTAAAAAAAAAAAAAAAAAAAAAAAAAAATGTATTTGTAATCTATAATATTTGTTGGAAAAGAAACTTCGTTTCTACAGGGTGTCCCATGAGACAGCACTAATTATTTTTATTAGTCGTAGGCATCCTTAATTTTTTGAAAGTTTTTTTTTGTACTCAGTTCATTAATTTTGGTTTTTTTTTTCATTTTTAAGGATATACTGATTTTTTATCTAGTATTATTGTGTATAAAAAGAAAAAGAAACTTTTCAAAATGTAAGATCTCCAGAATAATAATCACAATATTATAGTTGTTATAGATAGTACCACGGTATCTGATTAATCTCAATAAAATATGTTTTTGTCCAAAACGTAGGTATCTATTGAATTAGTACCGTGAGTCCCGACCATTCATTGATAAAAAATAAAGACGATAGTGTACATACTGCAAAGTGCGAATCCGTTTTAACTATGATTACTAGGTATTTATGCAGTATAAACATTAAGAAATTATTTCGCTAATGAAGTAAGCAGTATCTCCATTATATATACTGCCTTATTCTATTGAATCAATTTAATAATCCTGATGAAAAAAACTAAAATTGTAATAGGTAAATATTACATATAAAAATATTATAAAAATTATACATTAATAAAAAATTATAAAGGATGTATGTACATATTATAATGTATTTATTATTTATTTTTATTATTTTATTATTTATTTTTATTATACATTATAACTTATAAGGTACCACCAGCAACTAGAAATAATCAACACGAATATCATTTATTTTTTCAATACCAATTTATTTCTAAATTATAACCAAAAAAGTTTATTTTACGAATTTTGAGTCTTATAATAGAAGTGTTGAGTCTTATAACCGATTTTTTTTAATGTATTTGGTCATCCAGACCGTTCCAGATGATTTTGAGTCTAATAAGCTACTGAACCTTATATCCCTGAGTCTTATAATCGGCGTCTACCGTATTTGACAATATTTTGGTTGATACGACATTTTATAATGCCTTTCAAATGTATTTCTAGTGGAGTTACTGTGTTTTTCCTAAGGAAAAAAAAGACCAGGAATTTTCCAATTATACCAAATATGAACTAACCTCAATTTTGAGAATTTGGAACTTACTGCTTGTTCCACTAGGAGGGCAGAATATTGAATAACTCTTGAATCCATTGACCATGCTGAAGGACTATAATGTTATAATTAATGTAAGCTCTTCGAAATATTTGTCTAACCTCGATGCTCTTTTCACCAATTCAGCCAAAATTTAAATATTATATAATTAATAATATGATATACTGCTATAAGCAGTGTTATATGACATTGATATAAGATGTAATATGAAATCTTTAAAAAGGCATTGTATATTTTCAAATTTCTAGTATAAAATCAATCGGAGAAAACTAGAAAAGTAATAAATGTAGGTAGGTACCGTTCTATTATAGTGGTTTTTGGGAAAAACACAAATTAATATTGGTAATCAATTCTTTGGATATAAAAATTCTTTGTTTTAAAAATAACAAAAATATTACAACTAGTTAGCAAATTTAATATTTGTAGCTAAATTGTAAAATAAGTACTAATAATTATTAAGTAGGTACATATATTCAAAAACGAACTAGTCATTTTCCCAAAAATATCATCGTAATTCGAATTTATAATACTATCAAAATTACGTTTTGACTATAATATGTATGTTAGGGGATTTGAAACAGGCGTTTTTAAGGAGTTAAATTATATGCAAATTTCTAAATGCTTGCAATTGGGTTATGTGATTGGTTGCGTAATGAGTGATCATTATTGTGCGATTGAGTAAACTGTAAGCTAAATAACAAAGTGTTTTTTTTTTTACAAATGTATCTTTTGCGAATTGTATATACTGTAATATAGATTAGTAACCTACTAACCTATTCAATTTATCAGACTACACAAGTAAAAACATATTTGAATAGTATTAATATTCATCATCAAATTTACTTGGAATAAATTATTTAGTTAACTTTTTCACTTCAATATTATTAAAAATGTTAACAAAAAAAATGTGAGTAAAAAATAAAATATAAATAAATCATCTTCCATTGCAAGGAAATAATAATCACAAAAATGTTTTCTTG